TTTGTAGGTGGAGGTTGCCCTAAGATTCACTGTGATTAAAAGGGTAATGGGCAATTGCTAAGGATCTTTTGTGTGTCTCATAGAGGAGATTCAGTGCCTGTTTGCCTCCTTTGAGAGTAGGTGTGGTTCCTGGGAGAGGGATGTGACCTTACTGCCGTCACACTATCCTCCAAGGCTCCTCCCACAGCGCACACCAGGATCTTTATGCTCTGTCTTCTCAACTGTGGGAGAAGGGATATGACTCTTTGAGTCCCCAGGATATTCCAAGAGAGACAGGGGGCGTCATGTGAAGGGGTCCACAGCCTGGGTAAGGTGGTCATTTCTCTCAATGTCCATCCAGTTCCTAAGTATGCAATATCTTTAGCTTGACGTATCTTCTGTTTTATTTAATGGTAACTAATGCATCTTCCAAACCTTCAAAGATTTTTTTTTAGAAAGATCTCTCATTCTACAACTTAAAAAAAAAAACTGTAGAAAAGGGAAATCTTCCAAATGCATTTCATGATGGCGACATTACCCTGGCAACAATATCACACAGAGACATTACCAAAAAACGTAAAGTCACAAATCAAAATGCTGAAATAGTCGAAAAGATCCCTTAAAAAATCATAATAGATTAAAGCAACTTTATATTACTAAAATAAAATATCCTGCATCAAGAAGATCAAATGAAATTCACTCCTGGCATCTAATGAGAATCAATTTATTTGCAAACATAACTTGATGAATGTGATCTATCACATTAACGTTAACTAAGGAATCATTTGAAATGTAGGTGACCCTATTGGACCCCAGCACCTCTGGGTGAGAGCACCCCTCAACTTGCTCCAGCACCAGACTAAAAGGCCAGCACCTATACAATTATATCCAGGAAGACCCATGAGCCCCCAAGCACCTGTTTTTAATTCAAAAAATTAAATTACAATCATATGATCATATCAAAGATGCAAAGAAAAGTTTTGCCAAGATTGATGATAAGCAGTCATTAAATGGGATCAAAGGTACAGACATCAATTGCATCTGGACCAACCTACTGCTAACTCATAATGGTAAGAATTTAGAAGCTTTTTCTCTATCATCAGGCACAAGTCAAGACTGTCCACTCACCAACACTATTCAGCATAGTGTAAGAATCCCTGCCCATTGCAGTCAGGCAAGAAAGTAATACAAAAGGGATCTTAGTGGGAAGAGAAAAGACAGTATTTGCAGATGACATAATTTTATACATAAAAGTCCTAAAGACTAAATTTTTAAAAAAAGTTCTATGAGGCACAGATACCCAATAAACTCAGAAAGTGTCTGACTGTAAAATAAGTAAAGCAGAAAGTGGTTGTATTCCTATATGCAACCATTGAAGTGGAAGAGAAAGAAAAAGAATTTTGGTACGATTGTATCAAAAGTAGTCAAGTGTGTAGGAATAAACTTACCAAAGGAGATGAAAGATTTTTCTACTGAATACTTATAGGGTACTTTCAGTGATTCTTACTGGTATGCATAGCAGGACAGGTAATAATGCAATCGAATATCTAAAAATAGTATTTGTTTACATAATGTTTATACAAATAATTATTAGTATTTGATCAGTTTTTGTTATTATTATAACAAGTTTCAAGAAAGTAACAGAGTTGAAGAAAATTGCAAATCATATTCTAAGGCAAATGGGTGGTAAAGAATAATATCACTTTTATCAGCGATTACATTTCTAAATATAGATATTAAGACAATATTCATGAACCAATATGAGAATCATTTTCGTATAAATTATTTTTTAAAAATCATATTGACAAAACTGAAAATTACCCCAGACTTCTATTTTTGTGACTTTTGTCATGACGTATTCGATATGCCAAACACAGTAACAACAAATCTCACGATGGAGACGTTACTGGGCCCTCTCGAGCAAATTGATGAACAACGGGAGGACAGTGCTACAGTTTGTCATAGATTTATATAAAATGATTTATATGTTTAACTTTTGCAGTTAGTGGAATATAAAATTGATTTCAACTGCATATATCTTTGTGTTTCCTTAATGTTTAATGACTATACTTAATGCGACACTACCAATTTGGATTTTACAGGCTAAAAGAATAAAGTTTTAAATCAAATTCTTGTGTAAAATGTGAAGTTCTATGACCAGAGGGATGTCTCAATAAGCTAAGAACATACTTTACATGTATGTGGTCCGGGTTCACTTCCTGCCACTACACAGTCCCCAGAGACAGGGACAGAAATAGCCCCCCAAACTTTTCATAGCTCCAAAACTAAAATTTTAAAAAAGGTGAATCCTGGGCCTGGCGAGATTGGTTTTGTGGGTCTGACCCGTGCCTTGCACACGGCCCTCCACATACCACATTGGCCCCTGGACTACCCCAGGGAGAACTCTGCGTAGAGAGCCACGATAAGTCCTGAGCACCACAAGTAGCCCCCAAAATAAAAATCAAAATAAAATAAAAATGTGCATATCTGTTTGTTTATACAGATTAGCTACGATCTTATGTACTACAATAGTGAAGCAAGCGTTGTCCCCATTGGTTTTGCATGTTTACTGGAAATGTAACCATAAAGTTAGTTCCTTACTTAAGTCTTAGATTTTTGAGCTACGAGGAGTTACTGATATTTCAACCCCAAGCTTCTAGAGCAGAAGCAGCCGTTCCTGATCCTGTATTTAACACTTGTTTCAAAATTATATGACCTTTCTCCTCCTTGAATATAATGCCTTGCTAATTATTAATTTATTTTATATTCTCGAACTCCATATGATGCGTAATGACTTTCCTTAGTATTTATGTGCTTGTGAATTGTGTAGTATCTGTAAACTTCATATAAGTCAACTTTCATTAGCTGGTTGATTAATTACAAGGAAAGGCTTATCATCTAAGTTTCTCTTTTAATTTTTCAAGCATCATGTGAAGCAGTCTATAATAAAGTTTGAATATTGAGAATGTAATTTATACATAAAACGCCAAAATATTTAATAAGGACTAGAACATATATATGATCTCAAGAGGCACTAATTTTGCCATGATTTTTTGTTGTTGAATTTGTGTTTCTGTTTCAAGACAAGACCACACTGGATAACGGCCAGGGCTTACTCCTGGCTCTGCATTCAGAAATTATTCCCGGCTATAGTCGGGGGGTCATGTGGGATGCCAGGGATCAAATCTGAATAGGCCACACCCACAGAAAATGCCCAACCTTCTGGATTATTTCTAAAGCCCCCCATCAGGTTATTTTCTCAAATCTGCTTTTGTTCTTATTTCTAATATATTATACCAAAAATTGGAATTCTTAGCAATCATTTTTTAATTCTTTCTCCTACATATTCTGTCCTCATATTTAGAATTTGTACTTGATCTAAATTTAGTTGTTTTAAAATCAATGTATATGCATGTGAGGAAAAGTTGAAATGAAGTTTAAAAAGATCATAAGTCATATAAATGAAAGTAGAAATTGTTCAACTAGAAATCAAACTAAGTCAGTTGTTGAAATTTAGCATTTTATTTGTCCATGGTTCTCTGTCAAGAAAAGAGAAGAAAAATATTTTTGTTTTTCCTATCTTAGGGAAAGGCGTCGTTGAAGTTTTAGATAGTAAATGATTATTTTCTGTAGCATCTTCTTTATTTATTCTCTATTTTACATGGTATCTCCTTTTGGAAACCTTGAATTATATACTCAGTAAAAAAAAATTACCTTTTCTCTGAATTGAACATTTGATGACTGTAAACGTGGAGCTATCACTCATTCAATGTCTGCCATGTGAGGGCGGGAAATAAGTGCGTTTTTTCTCCATTTTCAAGTAATCTGCAAGATTCATGCCATTTTATCCCCTTTGTAGATAGTGAAACAAGACTGGATTAGCCCAGCAATGTGTATAAGTCAGACAGATAACAAGGGCAGAATTCCCCACTGAATCCCAACAGAAGGCTTTCTAGCTCCTAGTAATGTTCATTCTAAAACAAGTTTCCACAGTTGTGACAAAGTGCCCTAAACTTTGCCCACTGCACCTACAGAAACTATGTTGGAGCCGGGGGCCCCTGAATATCTGAGAGTAGAACTGCCTGTCCCCAGCATCCATCCTTGACCCTTTGCAGTTAAGTCCTCTGTCCCATTGACTAAAACCTCCTGGATGTGACCAAGGACCCCAGCACTGCTGGCCGGGGGGCGGGGGACGCGAATACCTGAGAGTAGCCTTGATGGTCCATCCAAGCATCCATCCTCTCATTCTGTTGGCTAAAACCTCCTGGATGAGACTAAGGACCTACACACTGCTAGGGGGTCCCAGATATCTGAGAGTAGCCTTGATGGTCCATCCAAGCACCCATCCTTGACCCTTTACAGTTAAGTCCTCTGTCCCATTGACTAAAACCTCCTGGATGTGACCAAGGACCCCAGCACTGCTTGGGGATTCCAAATACCTTAGAGTAGCCTTGATGGTCCATTCAAGCATCCATCCTTGACCCTTTGCAGTTAAGTCCTCTGCCCCATTGACCAAGACCTGCTGGGTGTGACTAAGGACCTCCACACTGCTTGGGGATCCCGAATACCTGAGAGTAGCCTTAATGGTCCATCCCAGCATTCATCCTTGACCTTTTGCAGTTCAGTCCCCATCCCATTGGTTAAAACCTCCTGGAAGTGACCATGGACCCCATGCTAGGGTGTCCCCGAATACCTGAGAGCAGCCTTGATGGTCCATCCAAGCATCCATCCTTGACCCTTTGCAGCTAAGTCCTCTGTCCCACTGACTAAAAACCTTCTGGATGTGACCAAGGACCCCAGCACTGCTTGGGGATCCTGAATAACTTAGAGTAGCCTTGATGGTCCATCCAAGCATCCATCCTTGACCCTTTGCAATTCAGTCCCCTGCCCCACTGCCCAAGACCTGCGGGGTGTGACCAAGGTCCCCCAGCACTGCTAGGGCATCCCGCCGCCCACCCAAAGGACGAGGGAGAGGATTCCGTGCCCCCCCCCTGACGTGTGGTACCTTTGTGTCTTTGCAGCCTGCGAGCTCATGAACCAGGGCATCCTGGCGCTGGTCAGCTCCATCGGCTGCACGTCGGCGGGCTCCCTGCGGTCCCTGGCAGATGCCATGCACATCCCGCACCTCTTCATCCAGCGGGCCACCGCGGGCACCCCCCGGAGCGGCTGCGGCCTGGTCAGGAGCCCCCGCGGCGGCGACTACACCCTCTCCGTGCGGCCCCCGGTCTACCTGCATGACGTCATGCTGCGGGTGGTCACCGAGTACGCCTGGCAGAAGTTCATCATCTTCTACGACAGCGAGTACGGTGAGTGGCTGCGGGGGGCTGGGGTGCCCCTCTCCCCTCCCGGACCCCCACAAGTCCAGAGCAGGGCCAGAGAGGTGGGAAAGGCACCCGGTGCATCGTTTTGTGTTCACTTGTGTTGAAGTCAGACGGAAAACATCCACAAGTAAATGCATGTGTCGATGCTCAAAATTTCTAAAGTAAACCTGACTCCAGTATATTTAAAAAAAAAAATTAAGACAAGCTTTCCTTTCAAAGGCATTTGAACAAAAGACTTTGCATTTTCAAAGCATTTATTATATCCTTATCAAATAATAAAAGATCCTTTGAAGAAAACATAGAATGCTCTTACATTATACTAAAATAGTGTGTGCTATAGAATTATAGGAGTATATACTCTATATGCATACATAATGAAGGATATTTATATTAAATATTTGAATACTAGAATATAACAGTCGCCTATGGTTACTTATTGGTTAAAACATATAAAATAGCGTGCTAATACTATGATAGACTTCAATATTTACTTAACTTTCCTCCCTCACTAAAATTATACTCTTATAATATTGTTTTAACAGCATACTGTCTACTTTATAAAATCTAAACTATGAAGTAGTTCAAAACCTGCTTGATTTTTTCACGGTAAAATAATAGAGATTTTTGTTTAAATGTTCTCTGAATTGATCTACCTGTTGTCTAACCGATCCTGAAAATGTTTTTATCGAGGTCGTCTCTTATTTTTGTCATTAAGGGACAGAAGAAATAGAATATAGGTAGGTACCAGCAAGTGAGAGGAAATAAACATACATTGATCTAGCATAAATATTTCTAGTATGCCATTCTTGGAGATTTTCCTTAAAAAGGCAGTTTCAGAAAAAGTTTCCATTGAGTACTTGTGTTTTTATTTAAAAATCAATTTTTAACTTCTGTAATGCAGTCTATTTTCTTCGAGTAAAGGAGCATAAAAATGCTGTTTTCTTCCCCTGTTGTATTTGCGCCAGCACTGTGAACACTATTGAACAGTTTCAAAGAGTGGGTCAGAAAATGACATCAATAGGACTGACCACAAACAGGTTGGCAGAGATCTAAAAGCAACGAATAAAATCCCCCGTGGATTTCCATGGAGCGAAGCAAGTGGCAGTTACATTTGGCCCTAAATATTCAGAGGTGGCATGGGGCTTTGGCCATCAGAGTTCCATTAAGTTGATTGGTTGGCCGGGCCCACGCTCTGTGGCACTCCAGAAGCTCAGTCCTTTGTCTCCAGGATGGAAATTCTCATTTTTTTCCTGCTTAATTTATATTATTTAGGGGTCACAGAACAGAAACCAAGAGGCCGAAATAAATAAAATGAGCAAAAGGGAAATGGAAAACAATGGACTCATTGGTAAAAGGACTGAAAAAAATATAGGCGAGCCTGAAATTCACTGATAGGGTTATTTAGTAAATATAGTGAAATTTGTTTTAAATAAAAATGTTATGGATCCCTTTGCAGTTTGCTTGAAGTCAGATTAATTAGGTCTTCCCAACCTTTCATAGCCTTCTTACACCTCTACGCAATCACGATTTTAAATTTTGAAACTTTAAACCCCATTCCTTTTTTTTTTTAAGGAAGGAAAACAGTTTATTCTCAGTTCTATTTTTTAAAAGTCCTGTAAAGTAAGGAACAGAAAAATGTTTTCTTATTAAGTCATTTTGACATCATTAAAATTGGAATTTAATTTTGATTCTTTTTTCCTGTAAATGCCAGTGGGACAAATTCTTGTTTCCAAGTCCTAAACGGATCAAGGTTAGTAAAACCATGTAAAAGATTACTGATAATAAAAAAGATAAAATGAATATATAGAAACAATGCACTAAATTCACCATCATGCAAATCCACCATTAATTTTAAATCGCTCGCCTTTCTGCTATATTTCCTTTGAGTGAATAAGAAACTTTCGGGGCCAGAGAGATGGCACACAGAAGGTGGACACTTCCCCTGCATGCAGCCCACCTGCCACCATTCCTGGCACCACATATGGTCCCCGATGTACCACCAGGAGGGATCCCCGGGCACAAGCTAGAGTGAGCCTTAAGCACCACTGTGTAGGAACCCCCAACTTACATATGTGTATATGTTTCCATATTTGTATATGTACGTTTCTAAGAAAGTGCCATCACATATGTGATTGTGTCCTCTTAAAAATGGTGCTTTATTTTGTTTTTCAAATACTGAAAATCAAACATTTTCGTAACTCAAATGATAAGCATGCTCTTGGTGAATTTCTTAATTTAAAAATTTACAAAAAAATTAAAGTACTGGGCTTGTATCATTAAAATGATTTCCAGTAATGCTTTTGTTTAATGAAAGAAGATTTTCTCTTTATACTGACAATAAATCTTGCTAGTAAAGAACTGGGCAAGAGTCCAAAATAAGCATCAAGCTATTCAAATACCTTATGTCTTGAAGAGGGCTCCATATGTTTACAGAGCCATTCATCAGTGTCATCATTTTAAGTTCAAACATTGGAATTGTACTTGGCTTTTATCTCGGTTATCAGAAACTGCCTTCATTAAGGAATGGATAAAGCATCATCTATAGAGGGACTCAGGCACCCTGTTAAGGCTAAATGTTATTGAAGCTATATTTGCTTTAAAAATATTTTTTTTCAAAAAATCAGGCTTTTATATCTTGTTAATTAGAGAAACTTTATTTCAAAAGCAGTTAATTATGGTGACGGGCACAGTTAAAAATCTACATTAAACTCCCTAACAAAGAACGTTCAAGTCTTTGATTCTAAATAAATAGATGGAAAAGAAAAAAAAATAAGTGAAAACTTAATTTGAATGAATCGACTCAGGACATTTCTTAAAAGGCTTGAAGAGAATTGGGAAGGGCTGAGCTTTTCAAAAGGCCTCATTCAGGAAATGGTCACTGCTCATTTGCTGGGTGCAAAGCGAGAGGTGAGATAAAGGATTTTACAGAATGCGGTCTGAGTGTTTAAGACATTTTCAATTAATGAAAGAGGTGAAATATTTATCTGAATCACTTAATGGAGAAAATAACGTGGCGGGCAGATGACTGATTACTTATACAGCGTGAAGAAGAAAGTTTTTTTTCTTACGGCAGTAGTGATCAGAGGAGGTTTCTGGGTAGATTTTGATCCTGATTTTGAGAGAAAAATACTTTTATACTTATACTTTTTATAAGTATACTTATAAATAAATACTTATACTTTTTATAAGATGGGCACTATATAAAAAGTATTGAGCAAATTTTGCAGCAATAAAGATGTTTAAAATATGATTTCTGGTTTATTTTTTTGTCCGTGCTAGAATAAGTTTATTCTAAAAAGCTCAATAAAGCAAGAAGGGTCTACAGCAAGTGCCAGTTTTACCAGTAACAAAGCAGAAAGCACTGCTGGGTAAGAAAGACATGTCACAGCCACCACAGGATGGGCAGGACACGTGCCCGAGAAGAACAGAGAGTGTGCCAATGACCGTCACCACATATGACACGCTGACGTGACTCGTGTTAGGGGGATCCCTGGTTCTCTCCGAGCTCTTTTCACCTGTTTCCTAGTTATCCTCTTGCTCCTTTCAGTAGCCGCTGATGAAGATGATGGTGGTTGTGGTTGGTGGTGGTGATTACAAATAAAATAAATGATGTAGTGAAAAGTCAAGTACGCAAGTAAATTAAGAGGTCTAACTTTGGATGGGTGACCCTAGCTACCGTTCACATTTTCAATTGCCTGAGTACTTTGAAGATAGAAATAACAGCTGGGTAAAGTTGAGACCCACAGAACATTAAAAATTTGAGCATGAATTGTACCAGATCATCTTTACCAAGGAGAGATCCTGACTGAAATTGTGCGAAACATGAAGCCATTCTCATGGGTGTCAAGGAGAATAATCTTGAGTCAGTTTGGAAGATCTGATCATCCACAGAACTTATAACTGCCTGGTCATTGAACCTAAGCAGGCGGACACCTCCGGGACACTTACCTAATAACCCTCTGCCCGCTGGATTTGATAACAGGATGCCACTTGCATGAGAGGGAGCAGAACTTCTCGTTGTAAAGCTGCATTGCCGAGAGATCCTTCCAGCTAAGGGGATCGCAACTTGTTACTAACTCTAACCTAATAGTGCACACGGGTTCTCGAGGCAGACTGGGTGTCATGGCAAACACTGGAGAGAACCGAGTGGACATTGATGCCTGGAATGCAGAGAGCAGCGTGAGCCTCAGATTATTCTGTACCCCCAGGCCCCACCCACAAGCCAGAGTGGATCTGCTGGCTGGGGTGCTGGTTCTGGTGGGTGAGGGCACCAGCTCAGGGATTCTACTTGGGAAACTTGTATTTTTTTTGAGGTAATATTGATTTACAACATTAGGCAAGAAGGTTTACATCATTTAAAGTGTGTGCCATCATGCCGTGCCAACCACCAAAGTACCACAACCTCTGCCGAGTCCCTGGGACCTCAGGGCTGGTTCCCCCTGTTCCCTCAGTTCAGGGGACCTGAGCATGCCACCAAAATCCAATCTTCACTGTGGTTTTGTCTGAAGGAGCTTAAGGATATTTATAATGGTCTACTAGGAAACCTGGTTCGCAGGTGTGTGAGTAGATTTTTTTTTTACATGTAGCACTGTCCTGTTGTTCAATGATTTGCTCAAGTGGGCACCAGTAATGTCTCCGTTGTGAGACTTGTTGTTACTGTGTTTGGCATATCGAATACGCCACGGGGAGCTTGCCAAGCTCTTTATTTTTTTTACATAAATAGATAGAGCAAGTGGGTGTGTTTTCTTCTTTAGAGACTCTACTTGAAAAAAAATGGTGTGGTATAAGACATTATGAAGTATAATCTTCCAAAATCCTCAGTGTTTATTTCTAGACCATCGTTTACTTGTCAAGACTTGGCTCCTCCTAAAACTGGTCTTGCTTATCTCATTGTACAGACTGAGATCAGATCTATTCAATCTGTCTCATCCGCATTTATTTATTAATACAATAAGCAAGTCCTTAAAGAATTATTCCAACCAAGT